AACCCAACATTCTTTCTTTAGGCTATGCTGGAAAAGTACAGAAGTGGTTATTTTATCAGGAAATCTATTTCCTATCAGTGGATTATTGTATATCTATCATATAAACTTAGGGAAATGGCACTCTGATACAGTATGCAAAATACGCAGAATTCTTTTGGGTGGACCTGCCTTCCACCCCTGCAGGAGGATCAAAGAGCAGCTCCTTACAAGGTGGCCTCCTCCTGAGACTGCAGCCTAGGAGAGAGCCTGCCCGGTAGCCTTATTGAAATTAAGTTTTGCTTAACCAATTAATTGACAGCTAACTGTTTTTTATCCCATTTGAATAAGTAAATGACTGCAAAAGTTTTGTAAACCTTTTTTGTTTAGTACTGGTGTGGAGTTATTTAAAGATGGAAATACCAAATATAATGTTTATATTTCCTTTGCTTTCAAAGGAAGCAAACATTAGTATTAGAGATTGTCTGATACATGATAAATGGTTATTAATATTTTGGTCTCAGTGATATATTATTTATATTGGAAAAAAAGGGGCTGATGAAGGTGACTGAGACAACTTGTAGTTCTTGAAAGCCAGGTTCTAGCTAATGAATAAATAATGATTTCTATATTTAGTTTGCATTGATTAGACTGTTTATTACAAAATCATCATCATAAACAGAAATTTGGAGAATAAACTATGCAGACTGAATTGATGTTAATTTTAAGTGACTTTTTAATGCTGATACGTTTTTAATTTTTTTATGCAGAGGAAATAAGCCTAACAAGGTAGGAAATGCTGTGCATATGAGAACTTTGTTTTTTTTTTTTTTTTTTAATTAAGCAAATAAGTTTTCTCTTGTGCTTGAGTTCCAAATAGAAAGTACTTTTCAGCATAATCCTGACTTTCCTGTTTGGTAAAAGTAGAGTTAAACAATATTTTGCTCCTGGCTTTCAGGTCTAGATACTTTGAAAGGTAAACCTATTTTGTTACCTGTTGCCAAGTAAATGGAAAAGCAATTCAGTAGGGCAGCATTTAAAACATCCACACAGCAGGCTAGTCAAATGAGAACTTGGCAGTTTCTTAGAGTTGCTTGAAACTGGAACGCTGTGCTGGTACGTCGCTGAAAGTGTTAAAAGGTAGACTGGTTGACTGCTGCCAGCAGTGGCTAAGGCGGATCCAAGCTGCTTGCTTTCTGGATAAGAGGTGCAGATCATGGTAGGGATGGGATGGCCCTGGATCTGGCAGAGCAGTGAGGGCAGTTAGCAGAATCAGGCTACAGGGGCCTTGACACAGTGATGACAGAAATTATAGTGACATCTACCTACTGCTCAAGATAGACACCCTTCCTAATTCCTAATCTCATTGGTGGGTGTATGAATATCAAATGCTTCTTTGCTTTCATTGGTTTCTCAAGGAGGCCTGTGATCAAACAGCTCTAAGGTTTTCCCCCTTGCATCAGTCTTGTTGGGAAGCTACACTGTTCATGTCAGACTGAGGCATTTTAATTAAGACAAAAACGTAAATAATGCTTCCTTAGGATGTGTCAGCAGTATCTTTGTATTTAGAGACATTTTTTTTTCTCCTCATCTGTCAACTTGAATTAATTGGAATTTTACGAAGAACTTTCACACTTCAGTTATGGTTATTAAAACATGATTCTTAGATTTATTATGACTTAAAAGATCTACAAAGTGTCTTTTAAATCTTAGTATAAAACACATTTGTCCTTCTGCGTTAGTCTTTATTTTTTTAGGTTAATGTGAGGGTACAAACAAGTAGGTTACAGTATTTGTATTTGTTAGGGAGAGTGCCTCTCGTAGTTGTGTCTTGCGCCCAAGAGGTGTGCCTTATACCCTTACATTGTGCCCTTTTATTAAAACAAGACATCAGAGAATGAAACTGTAAAATAATTGTATTCACAAATGAGTTTTGTAAAGAAAAAACCCAATTTCATGGGATTCCTCTGGAGGAAATATTAAAGAAAAACTTAGTACTCAGTGGGCTTCTGAGTTTAGTCCGCTTCAAGGATTCTGAATACCAAAGAGGTGGTTAGCTTTAATACTTGATGGATGTGTCCAGGGAGTTTTGGTATCATTTTATAAAATTTGTCTTTTTAAAACTGCTACATGAAATTAAATTTCTACTTTCCTATAAAAATTCATTTTAGTTAGGGAGAGAGTAAGGAACTTGTAATATGTAGCTCAGTGAATGGAAATGTCCAACCACCAACTCTCCTTGTTGCTAAATTTTTTCTACTGAGTATGAGGAATGTAGAAGATGGTTTAGATCAGATCAAATAATAATCTAGAGGAGAAAAATGCAAGTGGGGGAATTTGGGAGTAAATAAAAAGAAATGTGTAGAGCCTCAGAAAATTTGAGGATTATATTTCTGAGTGTGGGCTTTATAAAGAAGTGGTCCCTGCTTTCAAGGGTGTCATGTTCTTGCCATATAATAATAGATTCAACTTAGATTGTAAAGTCTGCACACATGACCAAAAAAAGAAATAGACCTTAGTAAAATTATGCTAAACATCTTTCAAGGTGATTATTAAATATGGCATTCAAAGTCCCGCAGAAGTAGAAGATAGTTTTTCCTCTAGGAACTCCAAAAATAAGTCTGTTTAGTGGAACGAAAGAAGAAATTGGCTTGCATGAGGGGCTTTGTTACACACAAAAAAAAACTTTGAAAACTAGGATGGGAGCTTGGCACAATGCACACAGGGGGATGTGTGCGTAAGTGGACTGCTCCCTTCCCAAGCTCATGGTGAAATAGTGTCAATACTGTTGAAATCCTCAATGTTTCCCCTGAGGGCTTGTGGTTGGATTCATGGAAATGAAATGTCTACATGATGCAAACTCATCGCATTTATACTGAAATTTACTAAGATTTTAAGAAATTTTTTAAAATCTTCGGAGGTCAGGTGGGTGAACCACTTAATGGTGAATAAAGTGTTAAAGTGAATTGAGTCTTAGTTAAATCTGATAGCAAGTTTGCCCAATATTTAGAAAACTGTTAATGATTCATAGGAATTGCATGTTGAATTCTGTTCAATTTTAAAAAAAGGACAATATGTAAATTTCACTGCAGTTGTATGGTGCTTAAAGGTTTGAGCTATTCCTGTGGTGCCTGTGGCTCAAAGGAGTAGGGCGCCTGTCCCATGTGCCAGAGGTAGCAGGTTCAAACCCAGCCCTGGCCAAAAACTGGGCCAAAAAAAAAAAAAAAAAAAAAAAGTTTGAGCTATTCCTCAGATATGTTACGTTGTGTTATCTGTCATGTGTTTTTTTCCCTTCTTTTTGTTGGGTTTTTTTTTTTGGCTGCTATGTAATAATACCTAGTTTTTAAAGATAAAAGCTGTTTCCAACTAGAGTTACTTAGATACTAAAAAATATGTTTGTTCATTTACACTTACAAGAGACCTTGTTGGAAATATTTAATAGCTATTAAAGAAAATATTTAAAGTTTTACTTTTTATCTTTGAGTCCTAATTTAAAAAAAGTTTAAACTTCTAAGCTTAGCAGTGATTCATTGAATAGTGTATAATCATTATCTAGATCACTAGACAACATTTT